TTCATAATGAGAAGAATTTGTTCAACCTTTTACCTGAATCCATCATTTGATGGATCAGCCTTTCCAGAGAAAGTTCATAATGAGAAGAACTCATCTGAAGAAGGAAGAAGAAGTTCATAATGAGAAGAATTTGTTCAACCTTTTACCTGAAGTCATCAATTGATGGATTATCTTTTCCAGAGAAGTTCATAATGAGAAGAACTCATCTGAAGAATAAAGAAAAAGTTCATAATGAGAAGAACTCATCTGAAGAAGAAATGAGAAGTTCATAATGAGAAGAACTCATCTGAAGAAAGAAGAAGTTCATAATAAGAAGAACTTGTTCAACTTTTTGCATAATTTTATCACAGAAGGAGATAGATTAGCATCAGCCTTTCTAGAGAAAGTTCATAATGAGAAGAACTCATCAAGAGCTTATTCAAACCTTTTGAATGACTCTATCACAGAAAGGAGGTCATCATCATCCCCAGCAGAAAGTTCATAATAAGAAGAACTTATCTGGAGAAAGAGAAGAATTTATTCGATATCTCCATTATGATCAAAGTAAAGTCAAATGGATAAAAAATTTTATTATCTTTTCATCTTTGCCCTATTCTTGTTAACACAAGAATGAGCAAAGAGGGGCAGCTGAAGATACTAATATTTTATTATTATTATTATTATTATTATTATTATTATTATTATTAAATATATTAAATACATATATAAATAAATATTACAAGCCCGAATGGAAGCCCAATTACAAACAGTGGCCCAGACCCAAAATCCTACAGTAAACCCTAAACCCAATTTAGGGTTTGTATCATCCTCAGCCGCCATCTTCAATTCCAGCCGTTGGATCTGGTTTGATCCAACGGTCCACCATTTGCCAGAAGAAACCCTAGGGTATCTATACCCTAGGGACACGTCCCAGCGCCGCCGCTATTGGTTCCAGAAGCTTTCACCGCCACACCCACTCCAGCCGCACACGTCTTGCCCAAAATGGTGAGTCACCACTGGAAGTCCGGTGACTCACCGAAGAACCTCTTTCGGACCGGTCTGAGACGAACACCGGTGGTGGCTATAAAAGCCACCACCCATCTGCGAAAAAAAAGAAGAGAAGAAGACATAAACCAGAGAGACAAAAACAGAGACAGAACCGGAGAGAAAGGAAAAAACAGAGAAAGAAAAAAAAAACAACAACAACAACTACCAACGATCCCAGTCCACAACAACAGAGCAAAAATAGAAGGAAAAAGAGAGGAGAGACGCTTACCAAGGAAGCCTTGACCACCACCGGAAGCATTAAACATCGCCGGAGAACCGAAAATACCGAAGGTATTTTCATAGATTTACTCCGATTAGGAGTCTTTTTGGGGAAACAAAAGTTGGATTCGGTCTTAGGGTGTCTAGATCTATGTTTTAGGTGAATTTGGGGAATTTCTGACCACCGGAGGCGGTGGTCGGCGGCAGAACTTGCGGCGGCAGACGGCTGCCGGATTCCCTCCAGTGAGGGAATCTAGAGAGAGGCCAGAGAGAATTCTGGCTCTCTCTCTCTCTGCTTGAGAAAGAAAAAAAAAAAGATGAAATGAAATGGCTGGCCCTTCGGGCCAGCCGGTTTGGACTCTTATAGTCCTTCCCGAACGACGTCGTTTCGGGAAGGACTATGCGCGTAATTACGAAATAGTTAAACCCCGTCCGTAGTCCTCCCAACTTGTAAATTTTACATTTTAGTCACTAAATCGAGTTTATAATACTTTTAATTTGATCTCGAAATTTTAATTTTATTTATTTTAGTCCTTTTTATTAAAATAATATATTTAGGATAAATAACAGAATTAATCCCTTAATTTTAATAAATAATTTTTTAATCCCTAGTTTATATTTTTAATTTATTTTATTATAAAATCCGAATTTTAGATAATTTTATTTTGGTCACTAAATTATTAAATCAGAAAATAACATATTTAATCCCTATAATTTCAATTAATTAGGAATTAGATTTAGTTTTATTTTTATTATAATTTAATTATTTATTTTATATGTTTTCATTTTACTGCTTAAAATATATTGTTTTAGTGATATTTTTATTTTATTATATTGTTAAATATTTTTATATATTCATAAATATACATATAATAAATAGTAATTTTTTAAATATTTATTTTTAATATCGAAGAAAAGGACAGTCTTAATACAACTGGATGTCCTATTCTGATATTTTAAAATTAAAAAGTAAACAATATTATTTAAATTAATATTTATCAATGTCAAAGAAAAGAGCTGTCTTAAGGTACCTAGAAGTTCTTTTCAGATATTTTTAAATAAATAAATATTTTTATATAATTTTGAAATAATAAAAATTAAAAATTAAATATATTTTTTTAAATAATAGAGACAATTTATAATTAAAAAGTACCAATTTTGGGCGTTGTAGGGGTGCTAATCCTTCCCTAAACGTAACCGACCACGAATCCCTTTTTACTAAAAAGAACGAATTTTTGGTTATAAAACGCAGATCAGTTCATTTTTTTTTATTTTTATTTGATGTTTTCTTAAAACTCTTTAAAAAAAATAATAATAATAATTTTTAGGTATTCGACCTACCTGATCCAAAAGGTCGATGGCGACTCTCAAATTATTTTCAAAATTATTTATTCACATCAATTTCCCCGCCAAATTTAATATTTCGTGCCCGGACGAAAACCGGTTACGACAAACACAATAACAAAAATTCATCTTACTCTCTCAAAAGTTTTCATTTTTGCTTCCATTTCTAAAAAAACAAAATAACCTTAATCTCTACCATTGTTTTGAAAACCGGACCGGACCGGCCGGTTCAATCGGTTTAATCAAAAATCATTGTTTAGTCCGGTTCAATCTAAACCGGTTGAACCGTTACTAGTGAACCGGTCAGAACCGCTGAACCGTTCGAACCGGACCGGCTGAAAACCGGAAAAAACTGGAAATTTTGTTTTTTTTTTAAATAAACCAAACGTCGTTTGTTAAACGAACCAAGTCGAACTTGAGTATTGCTGAGCTCGACTCGAACTTGAAAACTTTAAAAGTAAGCTCAACTCCACTCAAACTCACAAGTTAAAAATTATCAAGTTCAACTCGAACTCGAAATATAATATTGAAACTTGAACTCAAAAAGGCTTAAACTAAAAAAAATTTAGAAGCTCAATTGAAGCCTAAAATTCGAGCTTAATTGAAGTGAAAAAAATAGTTCACTCAATGCTCACCAAAAGGCTCCATGATTTTGAATGCCAAATTACCTCTATTATTTATAGAAGTTAGTTGTGATGCTCTTCTATGTTTCTTAGCAATGTGAGATTGTTTTGTTATCATATTTTTACTCTTTAGACTTTTGGGATGCTCTTCTATGTTTCTTAGCCATGTGGGATTGTTTTTAAAAAAAAAAATAAACCAAACAATATCATTTTGTTATGCTTTTTTTAGCCCCAAATTTATTTTTTAATTATAGTTATATAATTATATTTATTATTTAATATGTTTTACCTTAAATATTATTTGTAGTTAATTTGAATCATTTTGTTTCACTTGATTTTATGGTTTTTAATTTATATATGTTATGACTTACTTTGAATATAACTTGTGATATAAAAAATTATTTTTTATTAAATATTTTTGGTATTTTTATTTAATTTTTTAAATAATTATGACGTCGTCCGGTTCTTCCGACCGGTCGAACCGATTCGACCGGTTAAACCAATAAACCGATAGCATGATCGGTTCGTTAACCGATCCGGTTCTGAAAATCATGATCTCTACCCATACACGCATATTACATGACATGGTAGTCAAATAGTTGCCTTGATACTAGTGCTAAGAGAGTAAGGGATCATAAGGAGGGTTCGCTCTTGACACGTGGAGATTTATCGTTCTATATATATCTATTATTTATAAATGAGTGAACTTTTTTTTAAAATTAGTCATATAATTGTTATTTTTTTCGTTATCTATTTCTTAAAATCCGAACAGATTTGAACTCCATTATTGACATACAAGTTGAGAAAGTGTTTATGGATTAATTAGGGATAAGAAAAGGACTGGTGGTTCCATTTGGAAATGCTATGTACGTGTCTATCCACTCGTCGCGGTGGAAATGTCAGTACAATGTCAATTCTGGTACAGCACGCCTTAATGCATGGGCCAAGGCCACGATGCAAATACGCTAAAAGAAACCAAGTTATTGATAACGTTTCCCTTGGGAGTTTCTGCTTAATTTCTCATTTTCCACCCATGCAAAATGGGATAGCCTATCATCTCATAATATCCATCTCCAACTAAAATATCCTCTTTTTTTCCCTTCATTTGCCGCTAAATCAGCAGTCATTGATGAAGAAACCAACGTGAGGAAAGAGAAGGCAAATTCATCATTTCCCAGCCAAAGGTAAACTTTTTTACAGTTCCAGTTTCTTGCTTCGCTGACCCTTTTTAATATGCATGCTTCACTGATTGTATGCCTGTGATAAGAGCTTAAGAAACATAGTAAGATCAGAAGAAAGTAGAAATGAAGGTGATCTTCATTAGGTTTTTCAGCTGTCCCCATGTACAAACTTAACAATTATCTACACTTTCTTCCTTCTAGAAATAGACAAGACCCGTAGGATCCAAATTTCATTGTTTGCGTCTCCTTTTCAGGAATTATATGTTAAAAGAATACCCATAATGTAAGCTTTTGTTTCAACTTTTAAATATTTATATGAAATAACACTCAATTATGAATTAATTTAAATTGAATGAATACCGTATGTTTAGACTTCTTGGTAAAAACGCAGTCAAACTAATAAAAATAAAACCTGTGCATATTACACATTTAACAGAAGAAGAAAAAATACTCTTTAACCATGTCGAATCCATTAAACCAGCTTGATATTATAAATTTTATATAACATAAATTTTTATTTTTACCAAACTTAGACTTACACCACAAGAAAATACACCAACACAACGTGGTACAGGAATTTTGAGAGATAATAAAAGCTGTAGATTTCCAATTTGGGTTTTACTTTTTGGTAACGATGAAACTATCCTCGACGTCTTTGGTATTGGAATTCACAAACTGCAAAACATGAAGAACTGAAGGACGTGAGAGATTGTCAAAATTCGGACGTTTTAAACTTGAAATGGAGGGTGTTTCGTATCAACCTCTAAGCTCAGCTCATCCTTTGAGGCATGTGCTCTAACATACCCAAATTCAGAAATCCTTTTCAAACTCCAACTAGGCGCCTGTTTAATCAACAAATATTAATCACTTTTGGGTTAATTAACTGATAATCATATGTTCAATTCTGAACTTACGTCATCGGAAAATTTGTCCAGACTGAAACCAGCCATTCCAACGATAGCTTGCACAGGTGCAGTGTAGTTGCTGTTATCGTATGTGTCGATGCCGTTTCCATCTTTCGTTGGCATTGCCAGACATTCAGAATTGTAGACAGAACATGTTCTCTCATAATTGTGTACATGTCCGAAAAGGACCAAATCCACCTAATTCATATTCTCTTACCATCATCTTTTTCAAAAATATAAAAATAAAAAAAAAGAGAGAGGGAAATTTAAACCAGCTTGATGAATAATGAAGCCATTGGTTTCTAGTTACCTTGTTATCCAGGAGAAGGGGTTCTACGACTTGAAGGAATCGAACATCAGCACCTAGAGAACTATACATTGGCCTGTGTCTGCATTTTCCAAACAAAGAATCAACGGATTCTGTCGATATTTATTTTATGGATAGACTTGTTCAAGGATCAGGTTGTTCGTTTAAACCAAAAGAGTCAATGATTTCAATATTCAGCACCGAACATCCATGAAGAGCTGTTTTTGCAGTAAGACTAATTTTGCAGCCTTTAACTTACCCTGTAAAAATCAACCAAGGTGTTTTTGATCGATCAACTGAAGCCATATCCTTCTTCATCCAGTTATACTGTTGAATTTTCAAGTGTTTATTAGTTTCAGAAATTGGTTCAAAAATCAAAATAAGATCAGATTGGAGAGATTAATAATTCAGATATTATTTTACCTGCTCAGACTGTTCAGTCCAGTCATGTTCTGTTGAAATGACAGTGAAATGAACACTGCCTTGCTCTATGGAATACCATGGCTTATCTTTCTCTGGTGTTGGCATTGGGAAATAGGCCTCATAAGGGACTCCACATTCCCCTCCCGAGTCTGGACCTGGGTACCAAGACCCTGAATCCACATAGTCCCTGAAAAGTGCGGGCTAAAATCAGTGATAATGGCTGATATATACCTTTCATATTCGAGTCATTTTAAGTTCGAATCAATTTCAAGTTGGGTCATTTTAGGTCCAGATCATGTACTTTCTACAAGAAAGTTACCTCTCGTGATTCCCAGTTGCAGTCATGTAAGTGACTTGAGAAGCTAGAGGGGTTATAAGGTGAAGGAAGAAATCCCATTCAACTAAGAAGCCAGTTGCATAGCTTATGTCTCCGATGTGGAAAATGGAGTCTACATTGCCGCTTTCAACTTCTTCGGTCATTGCTTTTATTACTGAAATTGATCCTGGCTGAATGTGCCAGAAAAACATTAAAAAAAACCCCCTCATTTCAGATTCGTCATACTAATGGTTTTAGTAGTAATCACATTGTATTCCAAACTCACGCCTCTACCTGAATGTAATGCTCTGCAGAATCATCCAGCGGAGCCTTTCCCATATCGCCAAATACGAGAAATTTGAGTTCATCTGATCCTCCGGCCGGTGGTGTCCGGAACCCGGTTTCACCACTCCATCCAACTGCATCACTGAATCAAACAGAATATAAAACAGAAGATGAATTTGCTGCAATAATATATATATACACTTACCTTCCATATTTGTACTTAAAGGAAGTTGAAGGCTGCAATCCTGTCATGACTGCGGTGTGAATGTAACCCGGGTCATGCCATCCAAAGTCCTTTGCTGGGCTAGGTACAACGGAACCTAAACATTCCAGAATGGGAAACGAAAATGCAAGTGAAAAAAGGGGGTTATTGAAAAACGAATTGAGGGTATTAAGAAGGGAACTCACTGCACATATCATCTGCTGAAAATGTTGCAACTTGTGACGTTTGTGATTTTCCATCTCCGTACTCTACTTGTTGAGGTTCCTTATCTCCACTAACCCATGTTAATCTCATCTACACCCCAAATGATAACAAAGTACTTAACAATCGAGTCGATCCATTATTTTAGACAACTAGATATTCAGGTGTGAGTGTTGAAAGATGAGGTCAAAAATATAATGATCCTCAAAGATCATATTCCACATCAATGTGCCAAATACAGATATTTCAATCAAAATGAACAGATGGAGTAACATAAGAAAAATCAATAATCGAGCATCAACTAGTTATGTTACTGGTACTCCGGTAGGCATATGAATTCGAGAATCTAATTTATTGATAAGTTTGAATTTATATCTGATTTGATCTAATTTTATCATAAAAAAATTATCATTTCAGACTTGTCCAATCTCTATGTTATTGGCAGACCTATCAAATTTTGATTTGAAGTCGAAATTCTTAATCAATTAATAAGCAAATCTATATATTTGACTTGATTCGATTCTATCATAAAAGATTAATATTTTAAATTTATCTAATTCAAAACCCAAAACAACCAAACCGAAGATGATCTTCAAAACTGAAAATAACTTCTGATTACTTGAACTTAAAGAATAACCTGATCTAAATTGATTTGACTTAAAACCAACAATTGACAAGTCTAATTATTAAGAATTATTTTTTTTAAGTATACGTGTTTGATGTATCTTATATACATTTAAAAAAAATATGATATACATATTTCAAATAAATATCTAAATTCGATACTCTTCTGCATCGGATATAGTATATTTATATTTAAATTTTAAAAAAAAATATAGTCTACTATAAGAATTCATGCGTAGGAATTAAATATTTTCATACCGATGTGGCAGTGGAATCTATGCTGGAGAGATGTCCATACAATGGAGAAGTGGGATTAGAAAATTTCAAAGGGGCGTCGGTCCTCATCAAAACGCAAGGTGTGCTGAACCCGCCGGCAAAGAACACGAATTCGATGTCGGTTCTGATGTTAACGACATGAAAAGATACGGAACCAATACAAGTGGTGACCTCGCAGTCGCCGTTGTTGCCATATTTCTGGCATTCTTTGTTCTTGCAACTTAGATAGTCTGGATCACTGCTCACATACTTTGCCTGCACAAATACATCGAAAAAAAGGATTGAATTCGCCGGATCTCGATTCCTGGTTAAACACATATACAAACTAAAGATACCTTAACAGGATAATGGCAGAGGAGAGGAAGTGCACTAGTATCGCCGGTCTGAATATAGTAAGCCTCACTTTCAAGACAAGTAGTCACACTGTATGTATGCATGTACATAAGATGGGAAAACAAGGTAAAAAATCAAAGTAAAACATGAAGAAAAAAAAAACAAGTTGAAATTAGGAAGAGCATGAAAAGTGTAAGTACTTAGAATAGGAAGGAGAGATCATGGCAATCCAATCACTTTCTGATGGAACCAAAACTCCACCAACATTCACTGTCACGAACTGATCATCGGAGAGGTCAGCATCGTCGGTGACGTTTATTCGGAGATACGGATTAGGATCTGGGCATTGAATTAAAGTTCTTCGGTTGAGCACTCGAAAATCAGATATTGCGGTGTAGTTGAGGTGAAGGTACGTCGAGTCGGCCACGGGAGGCTGCAATTCAAACGAAGAAGAAGATGGAATAGCAAGGAAAAGTATCAATAGAATGAAGGATAATTTGCATGCATGATGTTTTAAACGTTGCTCCATCTGGGAAGAAATCATGTAATTTTGGTGACTTTGGGTTTTCTTTGCTGTTGATTTAGTTTTCTAGCATTATTTTTGTCATTTTGAAGATTGGAAAATTGGATGAAAAGATCAAAACGATTATATTTATAGGCCAATATTGGGAATCTCCGAGGGGACAATTAGGTTTCTAATTGATGAAAACGTTGTTACATTGATACTAAAGAGGATTATATTAACTGTCATGTTTTGTCCCAAACCTGGAAATTCTTTATTACCATTTACTTGCCTTGTTCGAAAATAAAGATGCGTTGACTTATTTTCATTAATTTTCTCGAAATCTTATAGATTTCAACCCATTGATTTTTTGCATTACGTACCAGGAGGAAGAAGAGGATGAAATATCAAAAGTGTTGAGACATTCCATTATTGAAATAAAATAAATAAATGTAAAGATGTGTATTTTTTAAAAATCAATAGCTTCTATAAAAGTGAGTAGAAAAATGGGTAGGTTTTAAGAAGTAAATACGTAACTTTTTGTTTAAAAGGAATTAACATCAACGCCTGCTGCTATTTGGTACAAGAGTTAAGATAGTAGGAAGTTTTCAAAGCAATGCGCATGTGTATGCTAGAAAATTCTACGACCATAGACGCCGTTGAATATTATTAAGATGAGTATTATTAATTTAATTTATAAAATTTTAAAAAATTTAACGTATAATTATAAACAAAGAAAAATATTCAGAGTTTTTTGATTTAGGGTTGGTATTTGATCTAATTACTGTTAAAAAATTGTGAAAATAATGTAATTAATATTATATTTTAAATAATTTATAATTATACGTTGAGTCTTTTAGATTTTTAATTTATTTTTAATTAAATTATTATTGCTTAGCAGTGTTCATCGTTAATGATATTCAACAGTCCTTGTCGAACGTGGCAGACTCATCCGTCTATATTAGGTTTTATCGCCTTCTTATTATATGGGACAGAAATAATTTTATGTACATTTTAAAAGTTATCTAACAATATTTATTGAATGATTTTTAATATTTTTTTTACTTGAATGGATAAATGTAAAATTGACATCGACTCAATTAACCTCTTAAATAATAATATAGATATACACAAATATTTTTATTATATCAATATTTTAAATTATAATTGACCATTTTATGTAAATTACTATAAGTTGATGTGTATATAAAAATATATATTAAAAATAATTTTCATTTGATGTATTGAATATATCTAATTCCATATATTTTTATACAGTATTAACTTATTAAAATTAAACATATATGTACGAAACAATTTATTAAAAAAAATTAAACATATCGTTATAGGTAAACATATCTATAATCACCCGTAGATTGATAATAAAAAATTAAACATATAATTATAAGTAAACACATTTAGTTTATTTTTATTTATTTAATAATATCTCATATTATTTTATGATAAACTAAATTCAATCAATTCATCAAATATAATTTATTAAAAGTATATTATATTTTTCCTAGTTTGTTTTGTTTTTGAGTCTATTATAATTATTATTTAAAAAGTTGTTTTAGGGATTGTTGTTTACCTTTAATTGATTTTCTGGACAATGAATTCTGAAAAATGAATTATATTTTCTGAAAAATAAATTCTAGAAAGTATTTTTTAGTGTTTGGATGATGTTCTTTAATTCATTTTCTTCTATTTGGTAATCTTTACGAAAAATATTTTCTGGAATTTATTTGACATAAACACATATTATAATTTATTATCTTTTATTTTAATCAGATTATTTTTATTGTCTAGAAAGTATTTTCTAATGTTTGGATGATGTTGTGTAATTTATTTTTCCACTATTTGCTAAATTTTACTAAAATATTTTTTTAAAATTTTTAGTATTTTAGTAAAATATACACATTATAAATTTTATTGATTTTTTTATCTTTTATTTTTACCAAGTTAATTTTATTATTATTAGAATTAAATGTCAGTCAAAATTTTTTATAATTGTAGATAATATGAATAATTTCAGTTAATTGTGTTATAAATACATTATTTTTATTAATTACGATGCTTTTCTTAAAAAAATTTATAGTACGTTATCGAACTTTTTGAAAAATATGATTTCATGTAACAAAATTTAAGAGAATAGAAAAATTGAGAATTGAGAATAATCATAAATGCATTAACAAGTAATCGAACGATCAAAGAACTGAAAGAATAAAAAAAAGATCTAACTTAAAGTTTATTACTCTAATATTGTTTCACTAATATAAACATTGAAAAAAATAAAGGTCGAGACTCCAAAAAATTTAAGAGAAACGTGTGAAATAGGTATGACTTAAAAGGTTAGATTTTGAAGTTTCATAGAGATTGTGGATTGTAAAATTAGGAATTTTAATGAACTCGAAGGAGGAATTTAAAGTAAAACCCTCATTTTTAATGGGTTTAAAAAATTGAATATTTTAAGATAAAGGTTTGGAAAAGAAAACGATGTAGGTGCAAAGTGTTGCTTATCATGGGAAAAAGATAGAGAAATATAAAAGATAAAGTACCTTACGGTTGTTATCATCGTCGATGAGAGAGTGATGATATCGCCTTTTTCATTGAAAGAAAGAAGACAATATAAACACTTAAAAAAACGGTGACGAAATGTATAAAATGATTTACCGAAAATAAAAGGAGAAGTCATTTTACATGAAAAGCTTAAGTTTTCCGTTGACTTGTAAAGCAAATTATTTTGACCAAGTTTATTTTATTTTACCAAACACGGAAAAGTAAAAGTAAAACACTTTCTGTAAAACTAAATACTCCAAACAAACATACCCTTAGAGTCCATTACAATTATAAGGGTTGAGGGTGAGTTAAAGGGTTGGCCCAAAACAAACCATATTATATACTAAAACAAGCTCGGATCCAAAATGTTCCAATGAGCCCTAAAATGCATTTCTTCGCATCTTGTTAACCCATTCTTTTATCTATATCTATATTATAAAATTCATAATAAATTTGGTATTACGAGTATACTTTATCAAAGGTCGGCTTCTCTTTTTATGCCTGAATTTCTAATAAATTTTGAAAGTATTCGAGAAAATGTAAAGTTCTAAAATATTATTTTTAATTTTTTTTATAAAAAATTATATTTTAGATCAGATTACATTTAAACAAATATAAAATATATTAATATAATATACAAAATCAACTCAAACTTAACTAAATGTAAACAAGAACGCATCTAATTACGAGTTCAGTAGTACTAACTTAATGGTTGGGTTGATAAAATATCCTTCAAATTTTTAATATAATAATATATATATTATAAGAAGTTAGCATAACTTTTTTCATTCACATAGTCACGTGACACAATGTTCTAATATAAACTTAGTTGATGCCAAATTAAATTGAAGACAAAAATGTCTAATTTTCGACAATTCCCACGTTATTAGACTAATAAACATGATGGTAGTAATTAATCATAGTACTTGGATCGACCTAAAGCCAATAAAATAGGGTGGAATTTAGAGGAAAATGTTGTAATATTCTTAGCTTCATCTTAAGGAAGAAAACAGCGGTTGGCCGCTACACTACAAAATGTGGAGTCTTGAAAACATCCATCCCATCCCACCTTAAACATCGAAAGCATCGATGCCCATTTTAAGACAAGAAGCTGTGTTTTAATGTCCAAATTTCATTTTTGCCTTTTGTAAAAATCAAAGAGTGTAGCACAGGCTTTCTCTTTCAACACCTTGAAAACACCCATCCTTTCATGTTTCCTTCTACTTTGGATTTTGTTTGATTCTAACCACTCCCATAAGATCACAAAACTAAATAGATACGAGGAAGATGGAGAATACATATAAATAAATAAATAAATAATATGAAAATATGTATATTCTACAAAATGTATTATATTTAAGTTGTAGGTTTATTTTATATATTCTTCAATTTAATCAGTTTAATTCCATATAATTTAATTATATTTTCTTTGTACTATTTAGGTCAGAATTGAAGTTTTAAAAACTTAAAAAGTTCACTGCCTAAAACCAATCAAATTAAAATAAAAATGTACAATTAAATATTAATGTATAGTACAAGAGCTAATGACATAATTTTACCGCCTAAATTATCTAATTAAAGTGACATGAGATCATTTAAGTATAATGTTACTTTAAAAAATTGATTAAATCAATAAAAAAATACAATCATAAATGCGTTCATAGACCAATAGAATCAAGTATCAAAAGTATATCCCAAGCATATATAAATTCAGAAGAGCAAAGACCTAAAATTGCTGGCCACTACCACTGCCTCCACGCCGAAGGCCAAAGTAAACAACGGGACAAAAGGAACATCAACAAAATCATATAAGAAATTAAAAATGGAAGCAAGTGGGCATCACAGTTTGCCACTAACAAGATTAAGCCAATCCAACAACATTATGTGGTAAATTACCAAGCCTTTGATTATGTGCATAATCTGAGTCTTCATTACACACTAAAACCAACAATTTTAAAACCCTTTTTTTTTTCTTTTGAGGAAAACAAGGGAGGAGGGCAGAGATACTCCAACTCAACCCCCAAAGACCACATTATCCTTAAATTATTGTTGATGTCGTTTAAATTCTACTTTAGTTTTGGCTGTTCTTAAAACTTGCGTGTCTCTTTTTCCTAATGCTAGGAGGAGTCCCCTAAGTGGATATCGCTCTGTTTTTGGGTTTGAAAAAAGATAACAAATAGTTGATTTGGAGGCACATGGAAATTGTAATCCCCACTATCACCTACTAGCCAACAAGCAAGGTTGTTGTTTTGCTTTGGTAGGGCATGTTTGGCTTTGTCTTGTGTTTGAGAATGATTCCAATTTTGGTCACCTTTTATTCCCATCCAGTGCATATCCTACCAAAAACAATTTCTTATATATATATATATAAAAGAGGATGATTCTTCCACGACCGACGAGTACCGATAAGTATTACTAATGATAAGCATCGATAAATTAATTTATAAAACGTTAAATTATAAATTACT